AAATCATAACAATTAAGGAATTAATGCATTCAATGTATGATAATTCTAGCTCCAGTGATGAGAGTGAACAATTAAATTCACGAAAGGCTGATACAAAGAATTCATGTGAAAAAGTTAAAAAACATGTGAAGCACAGAAAGAAAGGATCAAAACACAATGAAGATAGCAAAGACAAAACAGCAGGGAATTTTCAAAACTTGTCTTTAGTTGAAAACACAGGATTGCAAACGAAAATGTCCAGTGAAAAATATAAAGCACCTGAGAAAAGGATTTTGAGGTCTGAGAAGCATAAAAGCGATGCAAAAGACAAGGTGGCAAGTAACAATGCAAAAAAGAAGGAAGATAAAAAGGAAAAGTCAAAATATTGTAGTAACTCGAAGGTCGAGGTGCCTAAGAAACATACTGAAAAAAAAGTATATATAAAAAAACATGTTACTTTGAAACCATCACAATCGAATGTTAATGACTTAGATATAGAAGAAGCTGATCCGAGTTCTAGTCAAGAATTTCAGAAATCAAAAATCTCCTTCAGCAGTTCTAAGTTTATGAAGACGTTTTCCCGTATTAGAGAAGATTGTACACCAAGTACCGAAAAACAACTGGATGGCAAAACTAGGATTAGTAAAGAGCAAAGTTTGCATTTCAAGTCCAATGTGATTAAGATTTTAAATAAATTTAAGGAAGTTTGTTCAGAGTATGAATTACAAATGGAACACGTAAAATGGAAACATTTCAAAAAAGAATTGTTATATCAAGAATCTGCGAATAATGTTATACAGAAATCGAAGAATGTGATCAATAAACTGAAAATGGAACTAGATGATCAAGAAAATAAATTAATGAGCTTTTCTGAAGAATGGAATAAAAAGTGCTGTGCACAAAACATAGATCACAACGATAGTTCCTCTAGCGATAAAGAAACACTGGAGGCTATAGAAGCACCGGACACATCTAATTCATCAAAGAAAACAATATCTTCCGAAGAAGACAACACAGATTGCAGCAAAACATTTTCTGAGAATGAAGTTATCGAAGCAGAGACTGAAAAGAATAAAGAAGGTGAAACATCGTTGGCTGTTGCAAACCTAGGAGAAAGAGGGAATGATAATAATGAAAATACTACATCTTTGGAAGACAATAAAGTTGCGTCTTCTATTTTGAGTAGCAACAAAAAAAAGTTACCATCCAATGATCCGAATACAAAAGGCAAGCCAAAAATAATTGATGAATTAGTCATTTCTGAGAAGATCGAAAATTTAAGAAACGACTCATCACAAGATCTATTCGAAGAATCTATGATTGAGGATGATGGAGTTCAAAATTCTTCAAAAAAAGAGCAGACGGAACTTGAGAAACCAGAGATTCTCACATTAGGGAAAAATAGTGAAGAAATTAGTGCGAAGATTGACCTAAACAGAGATGATGCGTCTTTGGAAGGAAATAAATTAAATACGGAACCGGATGACGAAGAGTTTTTGAGAATTGTCGTGCCGAAAACGGATCTTCCTGAAGAAAATGCACCATCGAAAACTGATGATTCTGAATCGGTAGCAACAGTTATAATTGAGAGAGATACAAAAGTTTCTTCGGATGAACTTGACGAAGAAGAAGCACAAGCCAAGAAGGCATTGTTGGATTCAGATTCAGAGACAGTCCCAAATAGTGAATCCGCTTCTGAAAAGTCTGATAAAGTTTCTAGTGATTTGAATTCGAAAGAAAAGCTGCAGACTGAACAGTCAAAGTCTGGAAGGAGGGGTAGGATGAAGAAAGCAAGGGATATTGCCATAAAAAAGAACAAATTATCGTATAATAGCGACGATATTACCGAGCTTTGTGCTAAACATGCCCTTCTCGATTCTAATTCTGACGATTCGATGGGTTCTTCTTCTACGAAGGCAATGTTTGAAAAAACCAACGAGTCTGACGACAACAGCAAAAATAGACAAGCAAAGGCATCACTGTTAGATTCTTCGAATAGCGAATGCTCAAGTACCGATGATGATGATGATGACAGTCTACAACTTGCAAAGGTAGGTACTTCTTCGAAGAATCAGAAAACTGAAGATGGACTGGAATCTTTGCAAGACGAAATTCTGGGAGAATTTGATCCTAGGCTTAGCGAAAAAGTGAAGAAAAAGCCACACGAATTAAGTAACAAATGTGAAGCTGATAAAAAGCTGGGAATGCGACCTTGTATTGTCCTTAAAAGATTACCAGAAAATGATGTTGAAAAATATGCTGGTGCTTTGGAAAAATCGCGTCAACATTTGGAGTATAAACAAATTAAAAGGTTTAAATTCAATTGGAATTATTTCTACTGAATATTTTCTCCTTGTCATTTATCCATAATGTGTTTATTTTCTTTTTTAGTCTTATTAATTTGGATAGTCTTCGACGTAACACCAGGAAAACAATCGATTCATCGCCGAGTTCCACGTTTAAGAAGTCTAAAGCAACTACAGAAACAGAAGAGACTCTTTTGGATCATTTGAAGAAAGTAGAGAATGGAGAGTTAGCCGAAAACGTTGAAGAAGATGCTGTTGTAGACAATGAAAATACGCCGATGAAAGTAACATCTGATGTTCAAAGTAACGAAGAGTTAATGATGGAAGCTGATAGAATTGCGAAGAACATGCTCCTAAATTTTGACGACTCGGACTTCGGTAAGCATCGATACATTATTAAAGTTTTTTTTCTACCAATGATCAAAAAATTAAATAGAGCTTAAATGATTTACTTTCAGAAAATCAGAATGTGGCTTCGCCTCCTGGCAGTAACGATGAAGAAAAAAAAGAGGAAACAAGTCCAAAAGACAATGAAAAGAAGTTGACGAAAAAATCGGAGAAGAAATGTGCTGCTAGCGATGAGGCAAGAAGAAATTATTTAGTCTGGCAAAGCGTTTGTGGTGTATATGTATACGAAAAATAATTAGCTTTTCGAACTAAATTAGGACGCTGCGGAAAAACGGGAGAAAAGTATGTGGAAACGGAACAAATTATTGACGATGAAGTATTCGTCCTCAGACTCTGAAATTGAAACTGCAAAGTGGAACAAAAAACAAGAGAAAATGAAGCAAAAGGCGGGAGAAAATCAGACGTGAGTTCTTTGGCGTGGCTTTTAATTCGGCCGAAAACATGTGAAATAAATGATCAAAATTTGTCCAAATAGAGAAAATTCGGATGCCGACGTTACGGTTACTAAGCGAAAAAGAAGACTTCGTAGAAAAATTCTGGACTCTGATTCGGACATACAATTGGTGGATTCTGATTCAGATTCCAATAAATCTGTAACATTGGAGTCTGCTAAATCATCATCGGACACTGATTCCATGTCAGGAAAGAAACAAAAGAAAACACGTAAGCGGAAGGGACGTAAATCTTCCGATACAGATTCGTCGATTGGAGAGAAAAAGTACCTTTTATGCTGTTACTTATCAAAGAGCAATCATGTATGCGCATCGAATAATCCTTTAATACTTTTATGCTAATTACAATTTCAGAGTAAAGCCAAAAAGAAAACGAATAAAAAAGGTGGATACTGACAGCGACGATGATTCTGATAATGAAGGCGCAAATTCTCAAGGAACACCTGGCAAGAAAGGTCGCAAGAATATTCGAAAAGTAATGAAAGATAAGCAGGTTGCAGATGACACGAAACAAGCTGCGAAAGAAGAGGAGGAGAGGCTTCAACGGATTGCTGATCGACAAAAATTAGTATGTATCTGTTCGCTTCATCGTATATGTATATGTATTTCATTCATCATTTTATGATGGATATGTATATCGAAGAGATTATTTTGTGAATTTTGTATCGCGAAATATAGTACAACGAGATGTACGAAGCCCGATTGGCCAGCGAAGAGAAGGTGGAAAAATTGGTATTAGATTTTAATACTGAAACAAAAGAAGAACTTGTGAGTGTTCACCCGAACATAGTGAAACGCTTGAAACCGCATCAAGCCGAGGGAATCAAATTTATGTGGGATGCCTGCTTTGAATCTCTCGAAAGGATAAAATCGTCTTCAGGTTCTGGATGCATAATCGCGCATTGTATGGGTCTTGGTAAAAGTCTTCAAGTAATTGCGTTATTGCACACACTCTTAAATCACGAAGAAACTGGTATCAATCGGATTACGATCGTGTGCCCTTTAAGCACGGTACTTAATTGGTATAATGAATTCAACCTATGGTTGGAGGGCATCGAAGATCACAACATTGAAGTTTACGAATTAACCAAGTAAGTTAGCCAAACTATTAAGCAACTGTAATATTATTAATTAATTATATTAAATCAAATTTCTCGAATAACTAATAATCGTGAACGTTGATTAAAGATTAAAGAAGAATATAGAGAGAAAATACCAATTACAATCGTGGTACAGGACAGGTGGCGTCCTTCTTATTGGCTACGAAATGTTCAGAAATCTCACCGGCACGAATAATAAAATGCGAAAAGCTATGAAAGAGGAGGTGCTACGCTATTTGATAGATCCTGGTCCTGACCTAATAGTTTGCGACGAGGGCCATTTGTTAAAAAACGAGGACACCGCTCTCAGCAAATCTATGAAACGGATTAAAACATTACGGAGAATTGTACTCACCGGAACGCCCTTACAAAATAACTTGACAGAATGTGAGCATTGATAACACTCGAATAATAAGTTTTCATATATTCCATCGATAATAATTGAAAATAATTTATTCTGCGCAGATCATTGCATGGTACAATTTGTAAAACCTAATCTTCTGGGAACCAAAAAAGAATTCCTGAACAGATTCGCGAATCCAATAAACAACGGCCAATACGACGACTCTACCGAATACGACGTAAAATTAATGAAGAAACGAGCTTACGTTCTGCATAAGATGTTAAAAGGTTGCGTACAGAGATTCGATTATTCCGTGTTGACGCCGTTTCTACCTCCGAAGCAGGAATATGTAATATTTGTGAGACTGTCGGATGTACAAATCAAAATGTACCGATACTATTTGGATAATCTGGCTCGGTACGCGAAGTAAATTTTTTACGCAGTTTCTGACAATTAAATAGAAATGTTTTTTTTAATTTCTTGTACGCTTTCTGTAGACGTCAGCGTTCTGCAAACGGATCCCTTTTCTCAGATTTTCAGTCGTTGCAAAGGATTTGGACGCATCCTTACGTGATGCGTTTAAATTCGGAAAGGGTAGAGAAAATGAACGAAAAGAAACATGATAGCGATTCGGAAGGCTCGTTAAGGGACTTCATTGACGACGATTCCGATTCCAACTTGGACAGCAGCAGTTCAAATAGTAGCAACGAAAATAACAGTGCTGATAGCGCAGCATCGAATGCTGCTCCGCGGGCTTCAAGGAGTACAAGAAGTACAAATCCTGGTATGATTATTTATATCAATTATTATTACTTTATTCGTTGCTGGTCACGTCGTGCAATCAACTATATTTGTGTTTAGATATTGAAACAATTGCGAAACCCGAAGAAATCGAAAAGAAAGAAGAGACATGGTGGTCGCAGTTCATAGAGTCTGATCACTATGAAGATATGAGTATCTCCTCCAAATTGATGCTCCTCTTTGGCATTTTGAAAGAATGCGAACAAATCGGTGATAAAGTGTATGAATTCCGTGATTTTTCGAATTTGTCATAGCAGCATACCATTTATAAAATACATTTTAGGTTGGTGTTCTCGCAGTCGTTGTATTCGTTGACTTTAATTGAAAAATTTTTGGGAAATATCGACGACGAGACGCAGAAAGGTGAGAATTCAGAGTATATGGGATATAGAAGCAATTGGTCGTTGGGTTTGGATTATTTCCGATTGGATGGACAAACATCTCCGGAGAATAGAAGTATATGGTGTAAAATATTTAATAGTCCAAAGAATACAAGGGCGAGGCTGTTCTTGATATCGACGCGTGCAGGTGGTTTAGGTATTAATTTAACTGCTGCCAATCGGGTAATTATATTTGATGCGAGTTGGAATCCCTCGTACGATGTACAAAGTATATTTCGGGTATATAGGTACGTTCTATTCGATAATTTTCAAAATCCTACAATAGTAATGTAGCCGTCGTAGTAATAATGATCAAAACTATCAAATTGATGTGTGTATACGAAGGTTTGGGCAGAAAAAGCCGTGCTACGTTTATCGATTTCTTGCGGCTGGAACGATGGAGGAGAAAATTTACAATCGACAAGTGACAAAATTGTCACTCTCCTGCAGAGTCGTCGACGAACAACAAATAGAACGTCATTATAGGAATAATGACTTGAACGAGTTGTATACTTTTGAGCCGAATACGGAAGGAGAAAGACCAACTTTAAACTTACCAAAAGATAGATTATTAGCAGAAATATTTTTAAAGTATAAAGATTACGTGGAAAATTATCACGAACATGATTCCCTTTTGGAAAATAAGGTATCTCTGAAAAGAAATCATAGCTTTTGAAATTCTACCATGTTGCTTTTATCATTTTCATGTTCATTTTTGTAGGCCGAGGAAGAATTGAACGAAGAAGAAAGAAAACAAGCCTGGCTAGAGTACGAAGAGGAGAAGAAAGGAAAGCCAATGATTGCGTATACAGGAGCGGTAAAATATCCAATCAGTGGAATGTTGAATCAGTTCAACAACGTAACACCGTGGCAGAATGTTAACAACGATTATGAGAAACTCCAAGAACTGATACGCAAAGATGTGAGTACAGAAATGAACCATGTGGAATCTATGTTTGGACACATGTGGGACGATGCATCTTATATTTTGCAGTATCCAAATGCGACACCCGAATATCAAAAATTGATGACGACGCGAGTCTTAACCGATATGTATAGCTATTGGGAGAGGCAGGCTTTCCATGACACTACTAATACGGTATCGTGATTTAGTATTTAGACGTTCCATGACATTTTTGTCACCTGGAATTTATTGTGTAGTAGATAGAATATAATTATCGAACAATTAGATAATTTTGCATAAAAGGTTACGCCTCATCGATTTTGATCAAATTGAAATATGTTGTCAAATTCAACATTCTAAACAACTTCTTCATTCGTATGTTACCGACGATGGAGCCGAGTTTCTTAGATATTCGCAAAAAAAACTACAGCTACTATTACATTGAATTTTATCAATACGTATACGTTCGAAATTTTATCAACATCGATGAAGTGTAACTTTTTTTTATGTATAATTACTAACAATTATCAATTGTTGTCGGAATATTGATTAAGAAATCCATAGCTATATCGATATGATGAATTGTTTAAGTTTATTAAAATATCCATTTTAACATAGTTTACACATACACAGATGACGAATATTATTCGAATGCCTTCTACAGTCAGGAATATTAATAACATAAGCGGTCAAGATACAAGAACCGAGATACCGTTTACTTATGTGAATAGTAGAAGCGCTGATCCGAAATACGGGGATGATGACGAGGTTGTAGAGGTAATTATACAATAAATTCGTGTGGCACAACAATTATTTTCAGTGATTGGAACTTTTTAACTTGTAACGATGAAAAATACTGTGCTGTGATATTCAGGTGATTCCGACTACGACGAGTGGTAAAAGCAAAAATCAAGAAGAATGAACAATATAGAAGAACAAAGTCTAATTAAATGGGAAACAATAATGTATATTTTGCATTGTTGTGTTAACGATGGTAATTATGACATGTTCGCTACTATTATTCAGCCGAAGAACCTCGCATAAAAACATGTACGACACTGGTGCGCAAACGAAATGTTCATACTGCAGATAACATATCACACGTATATGTATATGTCACGCATGCCTAGCGAACATGTTAATGTCGTGTTACTAACTACAGACGTAACTGTATTCATTATACGATTTTTTTTAAGTTTTATATACACACGTCACAAGTCTATTAATTATGAATAGGTTACACACAGGATTCATTATTACTAGTAGTGATTGCAGCTTTTCTCGTGCATATACTAGAATCAGTATTAATGTAATATAATACTATTATAATCTTTCTTATAATAATTATTAAAATTATTATTAATAGAGAATAATATTTGCTTTAATAAATTTTATCGTATTTGTAAGTGTATTTTAGAAATTGTAGATTCGACAATGAAAGATTGTAGTGAATTTTATTGAATTAAAAGCCCATCTTTTTTGGCAAAACGTTTCTCCAACCTCGTTTTAATAAAGTTCGCAGTACTTCTTTTAATCGTTGGTATCTCGGAAAAACGACTAAATTTTGATTTTCATCTTTGTCAGTTCGATGGTCATACAATTCTTCTGCGATAAAGACATTCCAATTCGGCACTTTTGTTTCTGGATTAAATTCCAGCCAAGCTGTATAACGATAATTATCTTTCCTTAAAGTGTATCCCATGACTTTTATTTCCTTCAAACGAGGTTCGTCGCTGTTTGGATTTATCGAAGGATCGACGCTTGGTCTAGGATATTGCCCAAAAGCAGCTTTCTTCCATGGTAGTGACTGCAAATCTTTTAATATGAATACATCTTATATCATTTTGATCGCTGAACATTAATTGCTCTACCTCTTGTTTCATGGTGGCTCTTATAAGCGGTACAAGAGAAATTCCTTCGCTGCAAACGAGCATAGCATCTTTAGTTTCCTTTTCATTGCGGCAAATTGGTATTGGAACGTTCGCCAAATCAGCGATAGTTGGAAAAATGTCGACCAACTCTACCATGGAATCTATGGTCGTTTGTTTCATCGATAGATTATTTACAGTATTTTCTATGTTTGAGATAGATATTATTAACGGTACTCTTAGAGCAACATCGAAATTACTATATTTTGCCCATGCTGCGTGCTCACCTAGCGACCATCCTATTCAGGTATTAATCTTTAATATACGAAGAATTGAAATATTCGGCGTTTTATCATGATCCTAACTCACCGTGATCCGACATAAGTATTATGGTAGTAGTCTCTCGGATCGATAGATTTTCTAATTCATTTAATAATTTACCAATTAGTTCATCGATATAAGACACAGCTGCGTAATAAGATTGAATAATTAATTTGCCAAAGCTATCTGGAAATTAAATAGCGGTGAAGATATAATGATTCTCCGGCAGTGATACAACTTTCCAAATCATACTTGGTATTTTTTCCCATGGAAAATGGAGATTCAAAGTTTCAATGTCCTTTCTCTTCCTTAAATCGATCCAAGGATTATACGCAACACTACTGACATTTTCCGGCCACTTGTATGGTTCAGGTACCTTAAATTTGCGCAATGGGTGGTGTTCTGAAAGAGTGTTTCTTTCATAAATAATAATCCCAACGATATTGGAAACAACGAGATATTAATGACGATACTAATGAAGTTTACTTAAGTATCTTTTGGGATACTTGAACGGTATGTGGGGCTTCTGAAATCCAACGGCCAAGAAGAAAGGAGTTGAATCGTTTGCATGAGTTTGTAGAAAGTGTCTAGCATCTTGTAGGATTTCTATGTCTGGCAGAGTTTTATTTGGCATTGATGAAACTTTAACAGGACATATCTAAAAGCAAAGTAGTTTGAGGTGATATTATTCATCGTGTAGACATACTAGGAATTGTTCATAGAAACAATTGAGAAATATTAATGACAAGATTCGGAGCAGGTGGTAGGTTCAAGTTTGGTCGACAAACTGGAGCATTTTTGTATTTTTCTGTATATGGGTGGAATGGTACTTCTGTCCATGAGTAGGGACTATCATCCGAGTTATTTGAACTAATTCCTGTAAAGGATTCTGCATGAGATAATCAGGTACAATTATAACGCGTTTTTTGTATTTCATGAACTGAACACCTGGGTGAAAAACCTTTCCTATAGACTTAGTAATATACCCGCTATTTTTTAAATGTTGCGGCAGCGTTGTAAAATTGCCAATATCTTTTCTCCAATAGCTATAAAAATCATAAAGTTGTAACGAATCTGGCCTCCTACTTGTTAGAAATGAATTCCTACTTGGAGCACACAGGGCTTGCTGAAAGAATGCGTTACTCTGTAAGATCATCTTAACAGATCGATTTTATCGTTTCGAGTTCCTCTGAAACAAGTGTATATAAAAAGAATGCAGAGAGTTTGGTACTAACCTGAGCGAACGCATGCGAAAAGATGGCCGCGTTCTTTGCCAATTGGTTTATGTTCGGTGTGTAAGCATTTTTATCGCCATAGCATTCTAAAGCTGGTCTTAAATCATCGACAATTATTAGAAGAAAGTTTTGTCTTTGGGCTGCGCACCAACCAATCGAATTGATTAAATATAGTACTAAAAGCATCTTATAGTCTATAATGGACAATGCAATTGAAATTAGAAGCGACGAACTACTTTTCCGATGGAAACTGCAGAAAATTTGAAGCACATACTTAATGGAACATTATACATTATGGAATCATTTAGGTTACGTAGCTAAAGGGGATGATTAAGCGATCTATTTATGGAGTAATCTGATCAATTCCAGGAGCTTTTTTTTAGCTCACTATTGCACTTTATTTTTCAACGTACAGACATACAAATAAAAATGCTACGTAATACTTACAGTCCTACAATATCTAGTATAATAACTCTACAATGACATGTGTAATATAAATTACATTAAAATAATACAATAATATAAAATAGTAAAAATCAGTATGGAAAGTCAAGAATTTTATGTAACATGCGCACAAATGTTGCAGCAAGTCCATTGTTTTCTTTGCATTTTATTTTTAAGTTTGCCACGCCAGGCTTATAGATCTACGAAATTGTATTTATGGTTGTTGATCCATTCATGTTCACAGCGTTCAATCGAGAATTAACATTTTCAACTTGTCCGAGTTGCTTTTCATGTTTTTATATATATATATATATATATTCAAACAATTTGCTGCATTCGAATACATTCATTGTTTTCTATGCGGTATTCTTTTCTTCTTTTAATAGACACTGTTACGCGAAAGACACCTGTACAACTTACGAAAACTTTCTGCGACGAAATTTAATACTTTCCTTCAAGAGTAATGACCAAGTTAGAAAATCGCTATGTATTACAATTACATAAAGCCACTTTTTATGTGTTTGGATGATTAGAAGTTCTCGAAAAACGACTCAGAAGTTTTCTTTCCGTTCCGAATATATAGTATTCAGAAATAGGATGATAAAAACGTGAGTATTGAACGAGGGTCGTTGCACTCAAAATTATAGTAAAAGCGTAATAAAGAATGACTAGCCAAAGGGATGAATAAAAAAAAAAGAAAAAAAAAAGAAAAGAAAAACGAAAGAGCGGAAGATCTCGTAAAGAGAAAGGAACTACGATGTTTCTTAAATCGAATGCTTACGGCCCTAGTCGAATACTCTAATTTATACTGCTACAATTATGTATCTTCACAATTAAAGACTGATTAGTTCACCTCGAATCAATCTCGGGTTTCCTTTTTAACAATCGACGATAATCTTTGCTCATCGGTATTCTTCGTACAGTCATTTACATTAATATTATGCTTTGCCTTAAAGTCAGTCTTAAAATTTACTTGGGAACTGGTAGTATCATCTTTGAACATTTCAGTGTAATGAAAACTACTCCCATTTCCAGTCTTTGTGTTTGTGCTAGCATTATTGCCAGAACCATTCGAGTGCACTTCACTGAAGTGTTTGTACAGCATCGCAGTTGTACTGAATTCCGTTTCGCATCCTGGAATCTTGCATCTGAAACGTATCTTCGGTTAATAAAATGCTTGGAAACTAGGATACAACATACTTACCGAAATACTTCGTTATTCTTAGTTCCTTGTACTACTGGCAGTTTTGAATTAGCATGATTGTCCTGGTAATGCTTCCATAAACCAGTTACATTGCTTACTTGTGCTCCACAGCCAGGAATTTTGCATCTGATCGATGCAAGTAGTAAATTAGAAATAATACGATAATATTCATTATGATTAAAGTGTTTTGAAACTTACAAGAAAAAACTAACTGTCGAAGCTTTCCCTTGTTTTAGTTTTACTATCGATTTGCTAGAATTTGAACTAAATGTATTCGCTACTAGTTTATGACTGTCTTGATGATGACGATAATGGGATATATATTTATATTTTCTTCCGCAGCCGTTCGTGGCACACTTGTAGATCTCCTGTTTGTATCTAGACATACGTTGCTTCTTTGGAGTGTATTCTTCGTCATCGGAACAGTTGCTGTTCGTTTCTATAGCGTTATCTTCGTTCTTCGAAGCATCGCGATTCAAATCGTTCCTGAAGATTCGTTCGAGATTATCCAATTCTATTCTGTGTTCTTGATTCTTCGTGCTCATAGTACAAACATCGTTCTTCGAATTTTTGGTAATCGTGATATCTCCGTTTACATAGACTACATTATTCTTCTCTTGGGAATGTTCTACTTGAAGTTCCGAACACTTATTCGTATTGCCTTCGTACTTGCATAGGAAATTGTCTGTACTTAACAGTAAATTCTCAGCGATAGCGTAGCCGCTGGCTTCGTTCAGTGTCTCGCCCGTAGAAGAATAATCTTCTTTGTTCGAGCTATCGTTCGGAGCATTCTGATCGTGCGAGGCTTCTTTCTTTTGCTGCTGCATATTGTTGTTTCTATAAATACCTTGCTCGTTATTATCGTCGTATTGGTGTTGTTTTATCGCGAAAGCTTCGTTCTGTCTCTTCTCGTAGCAATCTTCCGTGCTCTGTACAACTTCCTCGTCCATCGCACTTTCAAGATCCTCGAAACATATTACCTCCGGTTCGGTCGGCAGAGTCGGAGGCTGTCTATGACAGCTTTCGATATGTTCTTCTAAGTTACTACTGGTTGTGTGTAAAGACCCGCAATTCGTGTATGGACATATAAATACATTCGTTTCATTGTTATGCCATTCTTGATAATGACGCCACATGCTACCAGGATCGGATAATTCTTCCCCGCATCCCGGCTCTCGGCAGCTGTACAATATCGACGTGTTACATAAGCATCGGTTAATTGGGAAACGTTAATCAACGAATGTAACTCACATGAATCTGATCTTCAAAGCTTCGAGAGTTTCGTGCGTTTTGTATTCATCCTGGTTCGTAAATACCTTGCCACAATCTCGTTGTTTGCACGTATATATTTCCTAAAAAGAACGATAGTTCGTGAAATCGAGATCGTGATACGGCGAGCGCGAGAAAAACGAGGGCACAGTGAGAATCAACGAAAGCCCTGGGTAGACGGGTAAACGCTACGGCGATTTGTTTTGAGTTAGGGGTCGTTGAACCCGTGAAATGGCTCCGGCGGTTTTACCTTTTTCGGGGCTATTTCCTCGATGGTGCGATTTCTCGACACGAATCTGATGACGCTGACTTCGGTAGGCCTGTCCGTGCAGGCGTCCGTACCCTGGCCCATCCTGGCCGGTGTCCGCGGAAAAACGGCTGTGAACGACGCGTTTCGTGCCCTCACATAACCTGCGCTCATCGAGACGGGTGGTTCGGTAAGGAATTTTTCCTATACCTTGAATGAAAGTCCCGGACGCGCGATCATATCTACGAACGGGATGCTTTGTCGGGCTACTTACCAACAAAGTGCGCTCCCGTTCGCGCCGGTTTATCTTTCCTCTTGCACTTCACATTATACCGTCGTTAATAATATCAATCACTTGTTGTCATTTCAGTGCAACCGGGCTACCATCGCTTTCACGTCCACCATTAACTCTTCCCGCTCCCGCACCTCCAAATACGATTGAGAACCACTGTTAGGGAATGCGCTGTTACAGGGCCGTTAGAACTTGGAACATAACAGATCCGACGTTAGTTTTTCGACTGGCGAACCTGGCAACGCGCGTTTATCGTTACAAATGCATACATATATTTTCAATGTTTATTCAACCACGTCCATGCGTTAATTTTTCTCGACTTCTCGTCGTCCGCGTTCGTACTATCCATCGTTACGGAAAATGTTTTCTCTATAAAAGAACCAACGTTCAGGCAGACACGTGACCACCTGACGCTTCTCCGTACGTATTTCGAGCCGAGCATTCGACATTTGACAAACGTCACAGGATTGCACCAGGATCCCACCGGCAATGGCGTCAATTTTAAAATCACCGCTTCCTATTCCGTTTTCGAAATTATTCTATTCTACGATCTTGGTCGTCGTTCTCGGTTTCACCGTCACGATCGATTCGAGCAACGATTTTTAAGTTGCGCGTGCCAGGCGACAGAATGTGCGGTACGTTGTTAACCAAATTTCAACTTTTCGTGCTTTTCGACAGCCGTCAGATGATTCTCGTAGAATCGAAAAACCTTTCTTATTTTCGACAAAATCTCGTGTCTTTCATCGGAGAAAAGGCGTGAAATTTTCAACGTTAAAATATTTGAACGTTACGAATTACAGTTTGCTATGTACATGTAGCAACGGGTGAACCGTTTGCGCGTGTGGACGTCGAGCAGAATGCGAGCAACACGCGTCAGTATCGATTTACCTTGGCACCTGGTCCGTCGTACCGCTGGCCTCTATCTAAATTGCCATCGTATCGGTTCAAGCGTGATCCACGAAAATTAATGTGGTTCCACTGCCGATCGAAGGATGCGCATACTTCGCATTCTGTTAACATTTTCGGCGGCATGGTCCCTGTGCTGCAGTCGTTGTTACGTCGACGGTCAAGGTTGGCGCTATCTTAAACCGGAGATCGCTCGTGGTCGAACATGTTTCTCAATCGTTTTACCTTTGCAGATGTGTACGCGGAGCCCGTAAACGCCGAGGATAATTCTACAGTACCATCGCATATAGTGGTCACGTCGTGGAATGTACGGTTTGCGACTTGAAACTCGAACGGGGTGGCTGGGGTGGCTTCGTAACATGCGAGAAATTGTTATCGACAATTTGATTTACGTACAAGCACCGGTGCAGAAGCTGCACACGCATATTACGAAGCGACCGTTTGAAAAGGTTCGAACTAGAAATCCTGGAATAACGTCTATTTGTCGCAGGACACTCCGTTTTCTATAATCGTGGAGGAGAACGGGACATGGATCGGCAAAGGATACGCGTTCGACATCTTCAATTTGATTCGCTCGAAATTAAACTTTACATACACCATTGTTCCGCCGAACGAGCACATCCTTGGGAACGAGAATAACGGTATTCTTGGGCTGCTTTACGAAAAGGTGAACAACATTTTTAACATTAAAAGTCAGTCTCTTTGGCGTCAACGTCGCGTCATTGCCGCGCCGGCTCACGATCGTCGGCGCACCTGTTGGTTGATTTCCTCGTGTGCACAGCGGTGTTTGGGCGGTTCTATACCGATAGGTTGTTCAGCGTTAGCAAATCCTTGTCCATCGACCTGTTCTTTGTGCGAAACAGAAAGTGGACATGGCAGTCGCATTTCTTCCGGTACTGCCGGAGATGGAACGGTTCTGCGAGTTCAGCACCTACTTGGATGAAACCAGATTAACAGCTGTGATGAAGAGACCGAAAGAGTCGGCCAGTGGTTCCGGTCTTCTCGCACCGTTCGAGAGAACAGTTTGGTTTCTAGTTTTGGCATCTTTGATCTTTATGGGACCGATTATTTACTTTCTCGCCAGCATCAGGTGCTTAGAATTCATCCGGTTTTATCTCGATCGGAGATATCGTACAGCATCGACTTATAAAAAGCTTCGAACCTCTGATACCAATTTGTCTATCGATACAGAGAAAAATTATGGCACGGTCCGGACTTGGAAGGATTCAGCGTGACCTCCTGCGTCTGGTTCGCTTATAGTTCTCTTCTGAAACAAGGAACGAACATTGTTGCTACGACAGGTGGGAAATATTTGCTCGTAACGCGTGTGTAATAATTACCGCGCGAGGGACTTGCTCGCACGCTTGGAACTCGAATCGGAATTTACTTATTTTCTTTCCTTACAGATTCGACGAGAATGCTTTTCGCCACGTGGTGGATCTTTATATTGATATTAACGTCGTTCTATACCGCGAACCTTACGGCGTTCCTCACGAAACCGCAATTCACTTTGTCCATCAGTTCCCTGCAGGACATCGTCCAGAAAGAATACAGTTGGATCACCTACAAGGGCCGCACCGTAGATTTTCTTCTTTCTCAGGTGACATTTCATTCGTATACGCCGTTCGACGAGGAATTCGTAGAATTCCTAGGATTCGTAGAATTCGTAGGAATTCGAGAGAAACGATGACCAACGAATTATTCTTGCAGGATCACGACAACGATTTGAGTTTACTAAATGTCAGCAAACATCGGGGGAAGGGCTTTTTCGAATACGACGAACCATCGGAAGCCATACTGCAATCCGTAAGGACAAGTGCGTAGCCGCTACCGATCTCGATATCTAATAGACGCATGTTCGCGTTTACGTAGTTTCTACAAAATCACGTTCGTACGAACGCGTTCCTGAAATTTCTGTTTTCCTTTAGAAACGCTGTTCTTAGCAGAAGCCCATTACCTGCAAACCCTGATATTCAAGGATTACGTAAACAAAACTCGCAATCCTTCGAAGCAAAGCCTGCGTTGCACCTATGTTATAATGCCTGGGAGCATATTGGACACGAATCGCGCATTCGGCTTTTCGCACGGTTCGACCATACGAAAGCCTTTGAACCAAATGTTAGTGTTAGCGTATGTCCAGAAATCGTATACCAGAGGGAAACAAACGCAAACGAATCGTTCAAACAAAATTTATGATTTGAATACAGGTTGATGAGATTGGTGGAGTCAGGTATCGTGCAACAAACGCAAGAGAAAGATCTTCCTCTCGCTGAGATTTGTCCTGTAGATCTTCGCTCGACCGAGAGACAGCTTCGAAATGCCGATCTTCTTCTGACCTATAAAGTTGTTATAGCAGGGTATACGATCGCGGCGATCCTCTTCGTAACAGAAATTGTATATGCGTTACTGGTAGGCTGGTTGAAACGTAAAAAGCGAAAGAAGCAGCGTAATCCCCTCTTAACCGCAACGATTACAACGAATCCTTCGGTTAAAGATTTTGCGCCTCCTAAACGCGTCCATTTCTTACACGATAATCCGAAACCGCAAACGCTTAACGGAAATTCGCAGAATATCTTGATGCAGGGAAAACAACAATTAATTAACGGAAGAAATTACTACGTTGTTGCGGACCGAGAACGAGATCGAAAATTAATACCGATTAGGACACCTTCTGCTTTTCTATTTCAATATTCTGCTTAAACGCGCGAAATGTTCGTACCGATAACAAACATTATATCATACCGTTTATATACAACGTATTTTCATCTATTTACGAAAATGTTTTGTTCTACAAATAAATATACGGTGTTTCTTTATCTACTTCTTCCTTTTTTAGTTCATTTCATCGAGACGTCGACACGTTGAAACTCATAGCACAAAATTACCATCTACCATCTACAGTACATGACAAAGTATATCTCTCGCAGATGCACGATGTGGAGTTGCCGAGAAACATTAATTATGGCAAAAATACGGCATGTACAACGTACAGCGCCAATTGATGCAGTGGCAAAACGCTCAAACTGTTAGCCAAATTACCGACCGTCGAGTTTGGCTAACAGTTTGAGCGTTTTACCACTGCATCAATTGGCGCTGTACGGACCTCGAACGGAGCTTCTCTTTTTCTCCACAAGGGGCGCCACTCTAAGCACAACTACTAATCATTGCGTTACACACACATACATAAATATACCTAAGAAAGAAATAAAGGATACATATAAACTACACGAGATATCTTTCGTTTATCTCTTAGTTCGATACGTTAATCGTCTTTGTGTCGACTTTGATTATTTTTTCTATTTGTCACCTAAAGAAATGAAATATACAATAATTCCGTAGCCGCCCATGGAGCTTCAATATCATTCTCAGGCAAACACACATATAATTTCTGACTAGAAATAAATAGTATTTATTAAAGAACTGCTTTACAATTTCAAACAATCTTGGCAAATTAAATGAAAACATATCCGCTAACAACTAACATTTCTGCTTACATACGTATTGCTTTTTAATCGATTGCATTATCTACCCCACGCTTAAACACACGCCATTTGCTGGAACGATAGTATGTACGAGGTTATACGTGCGTATGCGTATTTGTACTAGACTGAATCATTCTTGTCGTGTTCATGGCGTAGATTGAATATTTTTCCGTGTACATGTACTTGCACAACAAGTTATTCCATTCTGTATACGAGTACTGATTCCAGCCGAAAATCTCCAACGCTCTAAACATTCGTAGATACTTCTACAAACGTATGTACTGTTACTGTAAACTGAATTTTGTAAATAAATTATCGTAAGCTTAGAATTTTTGTTCGTTAACGCAATTGTCGCGCAAACGATTTAATAATTAAACGTACGGTAATCGTACACACTCGTAAAAATTTTGTATTCGAATGTTATGCGTTCAACGCTTGTTTCACGTCGCACTTTGCATCTTTTGTTCGAACATTAACCTAAAACGGATAAATCGACGCTGTGAATTTCCTACTGTCAATTATGTCTTTTACGTCAATTTCATCTTTCGTACAGTATCTTAAACTGAAAATGCGTAAAGTTTCGCCCAGTTTATTCAGCGGTATGGCAAANACCGATAACAAACATTATATCATACCGTTTATATACAACGTATTTTCATCTATTTACGAAAATGTTTTGTTCTACAAATAAATATACGGTGTTTCTTTATCTACTTCTTCCTTTTTTAGTTCATTTCATCGAGACGTCGACACGTTGAAACTCATAGCACAAAATTACCATCTACCATCTACAGTACATGACAAAGTATATCTCTCGCAGATGCACGATGTGGAGTTGCCGAGAAACATTAATTATGGCAAAAATACGGCATGTACAACGTACAGCGCCAATTGATGCAGTGGCAAAACGCTCAAACTGTTAGCCAAATTACCGACCGTCGAGTTTGGCTAACAGTTTGAGCGTTTTACCACTGCATCAATTGGCGCTGTACGGACCTCGAACGGAGCTTCTCTTTTTCTCCACAAGGGGCGCCACTCTAAGCACAACTACTAATCATTGCGTTACACACACATACATAAATATACCTAAGAAAGAAATAAAGGATACATATAAACTACACGAGATATCTTTCGTTTATCTCTTAGTTCGATACGTTAATCGTCTTTGTGTCGACTTTGATTATTTTTTCTATTTGTCACCTAAAGAAATGAAATATACAATAATTCCGTAGCCGCCCATGGAGCTTCAATATCATTCTCAGGCAAACACACATATAATTTCTGACTAGAAATAAATAGTATTTATTAAAGAACTGCTTTACAATTTCAAACAATCTTGGCAAATTAAATGAAAACATATCCGCTAACAACTAACATTTCTGCTTACATACGTATTGCTTTTTAATCGATTGCATTATCTACCCCACGCTTAAACACACGCCATTTGCTGGAACGATAGTATGTACGAGGTTATACGTGCGTATGCGTATTTGTACTAGACTGAATCATTCTTGTCGTGTTCATGGCGTAGATTGAATATTTTTCCGTGTACATGTACTTGCACAACAAGTTATTCCATTCTGTATACGAGTACTGATTCCAGCCGAAAATCTCCAACGCTCTAAACATTCGTAGATACTTCTACAAACGTATGTACTGTTACTGTAAACTGAATTTTGTAAATAAATTATCGTAAGCTTAGAATTTTTGTTCGTTAACGCAATTGTCGCGCAAACGATTTAATAATTAAACGTACGGTAATCGTACACACTCGTAAAAATTTTGTATTCGAATGTTATGCGTTCAACGCTTGTTTCACGTCGCACTTTGCATCTTTTGTTCGAACATTAACCTAAAACGGATAAATCGACGCTGTGAATTTCCTACTGTCAATTATGTCTTTTACGTCAATTTCATCTTTCGTACAGTATCTTAAACTGAAAATGCGTAAAGTTTCGCCCAGTTTATTCAGCGGTATGGCAAACATAATTTTTGAAACCAATCCAGATTACGACGTCTGGAACAACGAATGCAAGACGAACGATACGAATCTTTTAAGTTTTAAACGATCCAACTATCTCCCGATTACCATGCAAAAGTTGCGTTATTTTTACAGTAATAATTTGTTTAGATAAGCGCACTGGGTTCAGTTTCCAGTACCAGAGAAGCAGACATGAAGGTCACCGAAGACGAAGTTAAACAGCTAATAGCATCCGACAAAGTGGTCATATTTTCCAAGACAAGATGCCCTTACTGCAAAATGGCCAAGCAGGTACTACCAATTTTCCCAAGAGTATTTCTGGTCAACGTATTCGATACCAATACTTTCGATGATGCTTGCAGGTGTTCGACAAATTGAAAGAAAAATATACCGTCATCGAGTTGGACGAGAGAGAAGATGGGGACGATATCCAAGATGTATTGGGTGAAATGACCTCTGCCAGGACCGTTCCTAGGGTGTTCGTTAAGGGAGTGTGTCTGGGAGGTGGCACGGATATAAAGAAACTGTACGACAGCGGAGAACTCAAGGAAAAGTTGTAGCAGATGCAAACTTGTGTTTATACTGCCAGAATTATTTACACGTTGATTCTTTTTATTTAATGTAATAAACACTGTTATTTGACGGAAAATTGGAAATGTTGTAATTTCTTGTAATCGGTACCGTACGATATCGAACCGTTCTATCAATTTTCAAACCCGAAATCTCTCGGCGAACGTGACATTTTCAGTTTGCACGCCTTTTCTTCCAACATTTTCGAGCCACGTAAGACGAAAATGCGACTAGCCAGAGTAACATTATAGTTATGGTAATGACACGTACATATGTTGTGTATCGCGTGACGAAAGCGTATCTCGAAAAACTACTGAGTCGTTTGCAACCACGTGTCCACGATCCCGAACATCTATGTGAGTCGATTCACCTAAAAATATCCACAGACCGGTGGAACAGTGCGTCGGTAGTGTCTCGAGAAGCTGTAACAATGGATTTTTCGCAATACAGGAAAATCCTGATCTACGTTTTGACTTTTATGGCGTACGCTTGGTCCGGTTACGGTACTGGTTTGCTATCGAACCTAAGGGACGCCGTGTTAACCGCGGAATCGGTCTTCGAGAATCTATTCCAGAATGCGATTACCGTGGCGAGGAAGATCAAGGACATACACGAGGTGTTCGACGCCGCGGTCGAAGAAAACTGTGTTTTCCAATGTCCAGCTGGTGCGTAATTAACCTATCGTTAAAGATGCGCATAATTAACCTAGTCTCGCGGTTTAAACCTACTCCACACTCCCGTCCACGATCGGGCTACCATTGGTCGGATATCGGCCGACATATTGCGAAGCGACGAGTCCCAAATAGAAATATGAAGAAAAAAAAACGAACAAGTTTGACGCGATATCGAGCCACATCGTACAATATCGCGATCCATAGAATATTCCAAAAAGAAAGAAATCTGCTTCGGTTTTTGAAAGAAAGAGGTCCGTTTAGCTTCGAGGAGTTTCAAAAGCACGCGGGACGAGCCTTCTCATAACGCGGTAGAACTTCATTGGCCCGGTATTTTTCATTCGGAGTGGCGGGAACACACGTTTTACGTATGATTTCAGGCATCGCGCCGAAACCGGATTGGAACCACAAACCGCGAAGCAACGGGTGCGGGTCTTTGGGAATAGAGGTAAAACCGAACGATCGACGCCAAACTTTGGCTTCTTCGTTCCATTCTATACACGTAATCGAAATGGTCGCAGATAAGTCAAGAGTATTTGCCCCTGGCGGAGATGACGAAATGTTGCGACGCCCACGACATTTGCTACGACACCTGCAACATGGACAAGGAGAAGTGCGATTTGGAATTCAAACGATGCTTGTACAAATATTGCGAGGGCTATCGAACGACAACGGTGATGAACACGTGCAAGGCGGCCGCGAAGATGCTTTACACAGGGACCACGGCACTGGGCTGTAAGAGTTACATGGACGCGCAGAAGCAAGCCTGCTATTGCGCCGATAAATGGAGCAAGAACAAGAAAGCCAAGAGAGCCGCTCAGGCTGGCGGAGAATTGTAGAAGCGAACGCCGTTTCCATTTGTTATTTGTCCGTTCGATCGACGGTCGATCGAACAATTATTATTAACTCCTTAGCGCTTCGAGCGCTTCCAGCGAAGCTCTCTCTTTTTCTTCCGGCAAGGAAACGTTCGCGATTCGAGCGTTTTTAATTTAATGAAAATTCGACGTGTCGCGCGCGATAGGGTAGATCCGAAATTGCGACGTCGATACCGATACGAATATGTTTGATACTCGACCAATAAAGAGATCGTGATGCGTAAAATTTCTCCGGTATTTTTCTCTCCGATACGCTCCTTGGACGCGCGGCTATACTTTTCACCGTCGACGTTCGCCTCCCTCTTTTGTTTCTGTCGGGGGGGGGGGGGGGGGGGGGGGGAG